TTTACAGATGTTCCGAAATTGCTGTAAATGATGACTACAACAAAGAAAGGACTTCTTGTTGCTGTTAAGAAAACGTTATTCTAAATTTGAGGCAAGAGAAAGTGTGGCGTAACGTTAAACATTGTCCAAAATAGATAGCTGCAGCATACTAGTCTGTAGCCTAACAATAGGATATCTATTTTATTCACTCTGGTGGTACAGTGTTTGCTTCAAAGATAGGATGTCCATGTTCCATCGCATACTGGGCAAGAACAGCCACCGCTTCAAAAGCATAGACATGATTTTCGGGGTCGTGATGGTGCAGTATGTGTTGAAGAGGATTCTATAATTTTTCAGTCGACCATTCAAACTCTCGTGCCTTGACAGTTAAATCGCGCGTATGTACTGCTGGCGACTCCGGCGATTTTGTTGTGGTCATCATTTACAGCAATTTCGGAATATCAAATTGCTGTAAATGATGACCACAACAAAATAATACAAACTCGAAAAGTCAAACCAATATATTTCACCTACTTAACGAGTTTTGTGAATGTTAAACATTTGAAGTCGTAAAAGGCACTCACCAATTTTTCCCAAGTAAAGCCTGAAATTGGAGTTTCGTGCTGAAGAGGGTGAAAATGACCACATGGACTAGTAAAAAATGAGAAAAATCTGGTTTTAAAACAAATTGCGGGGTATCCCAGAAAGAATCCTTTGGCAATTAACGTGTGAAAAGTTTCACGTTTTTCATCATCCAATTTTTCTCCTTTTCTGATTGATAATAAATCATTACTTGCTGGTGTCTTACACCCTTCATTTTCCTTGAACTTCGCAGGAAACTCATTCAACATTCAATTGACATAGTCATCCATTCGGACTTTGACTTTCCCTCTTTTACTGAAATCTAGGGTCATTCCCAAATATTTGTGAATTTTTCCTCGCTTAGATTTGACTGGTTTGATTGAACCATATTTTTGATTCATCCATTCACAAAAATCATCATTCACTTTTGGATCGATGTGGCTTGATAACAGATCGTTCACATGAAATCAAATAGTTTGTTGTTTGCCGTTCACAATTTTGTTGGCAATGCATCCATCATATGGATTGAAAATAAAACCTATGTTTCTCCATGTCTCCCTTCAACTTTTTGTACCAGAGCATAGAGGCCTCTAACATCCCATAGATGGCTCGCAATACTCTCACATAAATCACTCGTTTTCCGTTCTCAATTACAACGTAATAACAATACCTTGGCTCCAGTCGTACCATCATGTGGACCAATAATCTGGTGATCTTCATCATCACTCTCAATTTTGCATCTATTGGCATTTGAGTTTGAATAAATGCATTTGGAATGTCCAAAGACATCATATCTTGTCCTTCATACGCATCAATCACACATGTGATCATAATCGCTTCCAATGCTGCAGTTGGACTTGAAGTATCCTCTCGAGATAGCCATTCTCGAGTTCCATCTCCTTTGTAGACACATCTTCCCTTTATTTCACCAGTGTTTTTCTCAGCTAATAACATCATAGCATCTTGGGCTCTACTTTTTTCCAAATCAGTCATGTCTTCAACATGAATTGGTTCCCAACATTCTCTTTGTATCAATTGGTCAAGCTCTTTCATCACAGCCTTATTACCTTCTTCTTTGAATAATTTCAGTCCCTTATTTAGGTATTATTGTTGGATAAACGATACTCCTTCATTTTGGACTTTATCCTTGATTTGTTGCATGAATCGTGCAATCAGAGTTGCCTTATCCCTTCCATATTCGGCTTTCTTGTCACTTCCAACCTGTTGGAATAGTAGATTGTAGTTTGACACTTTTTTCGGAATCCTTTTCCTTAAATTTTCCTTCATTGAAATTATTTCATTCAAATAACCTTTCAATTTCTTGACTTTTTCCTTTTTTCTCATGGCACTCCTGTTCTTTGACAAATTGTGCTTCAGTTTCTTTTGATTCAGGTATTGTTGATTATACCTTGGTCGATTGCGATTATTCCGTTTGGTTGGTCTCATTTTTATTCCATCTTGAACATAAGATTTACCACTCCTGGTTTTCCTTGGACTCAATATGTCCTGTTTATTCACTTCATCATTTTCATGATTATCATTGTCGCTTGATTCGTCCAAATTATCGTCAGATTCATCATTTTCATTTTCATTATCATCCAAATTTGCCACAAATTCGCAAACATCATTGACTTGATTCTCACATTCTTTGATTTCATCCTGAATGCGATCAATTAAATCATCATTTTCCTCATATGTTTTGCCTGTTTCTTCAATTTGTTCTTCATCGTTAAGTGATTTGACATCTTCTTTGTCTTTTTGAATGTCTTCTTCAATTTCTTGAATCTTTTCATTTAAATCCTCATCATTCTGATATTTGTCAATTGGATTGGGATCTTGATCGGAATTTTCATCATTTGACTCTTTTTTCGGAATCCTTTTCCTTAAATTTTCCTTCATTGAAATTATTTCATTCAAATAACCTTTCAATTTCTTGACTTTTTCCTTTTTTCTCATGGCACTCCTGTTCTTTCACGAATTGCGCTTCAGTTTCTTTTGATTCAGGTATTGTTGATTATACCTTGGTCGATTGCAATTATTCCGTTCGGTTGGTCTCATGTTTATTCCATCTTGAACATAAGATTTACCACTCCTGGTTTTCCTTGGACTGAATATGTCCTGTTTATTCACTTCATCATTTTCATGATTATCAGCGTCGCTTGATTTGTCCGAATTATCGTCAGATTCATCATTTTCATTTTCATTATCATCCAAATTTGCCACAAATTCGCAAACATCATTGACTTGATTCTCACATTCTTTGATTTCATCCTGAATGCGATCAATTAAATCATCATTTTCCTCATATGTTTTGCCTGTTTCTTCAATTTGTTCTTCATCGTTAAGTGATTCGACATCTTCTTTGTCTTTTTGAATGTCTTCTTTAATTTCTTGAATCTTTTCATTTAAATCCTCATCATTCTGATATTTGTCATTTGGATTGGGATCTTGATCGGAATTTTCATCATCAGATCTCTGTCTCAATCGTTCATAAATACTTGCAACACTCCTGTCTTCTGCCTGTTCTTCAACATTTTCGGTGTGCTGTTTTCAATAAATTCTTCCGCTTCTTCAAGTAAAGCATCAATTTCATCTTGATCAATCTTTTCATAAAAATCAAAAATCAAAAATCAAAAACTAAAAGGTAGAAAATATTTTTCCACGCACAGCACCAAAACAGAACTGTACCAGTCCTACGCGTTTTCTACGTAAAGGAAAACAGTTGTTGTTGCTGAA